CCTCCCTCCCTTCTCCCTCTCTCCCACCCTTCCTAGCTGCAGGTGGCCACATTCACCCAAATCCCAGGGAAGGTGTTTCCCTCCCAGAGTATTGCTTCTCTGTACAGAACCTTCGGTTTCTTCCTGCACCCAAAAGCCAGCCTCAATCTCAAGCTGCCAAACTGGCTTTTTCAAAAACATTTCTGTTTTCCCCAGCATGAGCTCATCAGTCTGCAATGTCCATGTGGACTAATAGCAGGCTCAGAGGATGTGCCCTGGGCACCCCTCCCCACCCTGTCCTCAAGCGTCAGTGTCACCCTGGGTGCAGTGGCTGCAAGGCCACCTTCCCCTCAATCTGCCCCATTGTCCAGCATGACTGTGTTTTGATAGCAGAGAGAGGGGCATTGGAGGAACTCTGGATGCCACCCAGAAAATCGCTTCTGCTACCGGGACCAGGGTGCCCACAAGAAATAAAATCCAGCTCTTTGCCGCGACATGAAAGGGAAAAGAGAATGAGTAGAAAATACGTTTTGTTTTGTTGGGTTTTTTTTGTTGTTGTTGTTTTTTGCAATGACTTGACTTTATTTGGTCTTCATTTAAACAAATTATAATGCTATTTGTAGCAATTATGAAGCAATTGAGAGAAAAGATTAGAATAAATGGAAAATGATGCTTTCTTCTTTGTAGAAAATACGGTTTTAAAACTCTGACCACATCCTAGGAAGGTGCCCTCACGCTCCACCTCATGCGGTTTCCTGCCTTTGCAAGCAGCAAAGTGCTTCATCCCACCACGCACTGTCGCGGCCTCAGTGGCTTGACAGGGCAGGGTGTTGGTTCCGTCTGCACACCTGCGTGGGGCAGTCTGGTGGCCCCGACTCTCTCCCTTGCAAAGCCACCCTGGGCCCAGGCTCTGGCTCTTTGGGCACTGCTCATTTTGGGAGCTTGCTGCATTCTCTTTTTCAACCTGAGTGCCATTTCTGGGCGCCCTGGCCTTAGGCCCGGCCGTGCTGGCAGCATGGAGGCAGCGCCCCAACCCTCTTCCACTCTTCCTCGGCATCTGACAGTTGCCATGGATTGATTTTTCAAAAGGCACATTTTCTCCTTTTTTATCTTTATTAAATTTATTGGTACAATTAGGTATACAACACGGTTTCATTCATCATTAGGATCTTGTACCTTTACAGGACTTATCAGGTTCTTGTTTTTCCCCATTCCCCAGCCCTCCCCTCATCCCCTCCCCGCTTCCTTGTTTACAAAGACTTTGCCTCCATGATTTTCCTTTTCACGCATTTTTTCTTTTCCCTTTTTACCTTTCCCCTACCCCTCCCACTTCCCCTACTCTTTTAGACTTTTCTTCCTTTTACACAATAGCAATTATACATTTTCACCCTTATTTACACTTTTACTTTTTCACACCAGAGAAACTATTCATTATTTGCACATGTGTAACTTACTAATTTCACTGAAGAGTATGGCCTCAGTGTGCATCCACTTAGCTATAAATCTCTCTAGTTTCTCATTCTTTATGGCTGAGTAGTATTCTGTTTTATTTTTTAAAAAACACATCTTCTTTTTCTATTTTTCTCTTAAAATCTTTTTTTTCCTCTTTGAGTCTGTTGTTACATTCTAGGTATACAGTACAGTTCCATTCATCATTGGATCTTGTACCTTTACATGGCAGGTCTTGGTTCTTATTTTTTCCTATTGTCCCTGCCCTCCCTTCACCCTTTCCTCCCCCTTTACAGACACTTCATTTCCATTTTTTTCATTTTCTCCTATTTTTTTGTTTTCCCTTATTAGCTTTCCCCTACCCTTCCCACTTCCTCTACACCTTTAGCTCCTTTCTCCCTATTTCACATTTCTCTTAAAATCTTAAAGGAAATAACCTTAGGAGTGGCTCCGCTTTATCTGCTTTACTAGTGGTTGAACCATGACAATAAGTCTAAGCTCAAGAGGTAACTGTTCCGATCAGTAGCAAATGCTTGAATTCCCAGGTTCAGTCCTGTGAGTGCATTCACCAGTGAATTCTTTTCTTAGAAAAAGAATTTTCTGTCTAAAACTATTGTAACCCAAGTTTTGCTTGGACTGATTCCATAAAAATAGCCTTGAAAAATTATGTTATCGCTGCAATGAGCAACCTTGGCCAAGTTGATGATTTAAAAAAAGTAATCAGCTAATGCTTTCTGACTACTCACTGTGTGCCTGGTTTGCAGGCATACCTCACCTATAGCATTTATTTTCCCATCTCAGGAATGAGGAAACTGAGGCCCTGAGAGGATAAGTAACTTGTCCACGTTCTCCCAGCCTGAGGTGGAAAGGTAGAACTGAAAGCAGACAATTGGTTTCATGCCCTAAATTTACCCACCATGCTACATCAAAATCCTCTTCCTTGTCCCGTCCAGAAAAGAGAAATTGTCTGGAATAGCCAAGTCCTGGAGACCTTTTGGTATCATTTGCCACTGCTAGGCTTCTCCTGGGAAAAGGAAAGTCCAACTTGGAATGTCCATCAGTCAAAGCTTGAGGCACAATTTATTGGATGCCGCCTTGAACTGACTTCCCTGAGTGGTGACTGCTGTGGATGGAACACAGGCCCAGGGCCCAGGCCAGCCCTGTCAGCTCTGGAAGCTCACATCCCTATCTCCTTTGTCCCTCAGGTGAAGACTGCTAAGCCCCTATCTGTGCCTCAAGGGAAAATGACAGTCTCCATGGACCATTGCATGAACTCTTGCACAGTACCCACTGGGCCACTCTGTGCTTGGTGCTCATGGTTTTTGATTCCCCTGACTCTCACACCCATCCCAGGAAGGAGGTTCCATTAATGTTCTCACTTTACAGATGTGGAAATGGAGTCAGGGGAAGGGGGAGGGATTCAGGGACTTACCCAGGCCATTCAGCTAGCATTCACCGGAAGTGGTTTCCTCCTGTGGCGAGGGCACTTGGCTCAGACCTGCAGCAGAGGTCAGATAGAGGAGGCCAGAGCAACTCACGCCTTGCAAAATGCACGCACCCTGGGGTGGCCGCAGTTCACACTGCAGATGTCAGACACTGACTTCAGTGCTGGCTGTCTCGATGGCTGTGGCTGAGTCACTGGGCCCCAGCCTGAGTATCTGCAACCCTTCAAGTGGAACTGAGGCGACCAGTTCAGGATGGGACCTATGCCTGTATCCGGGTCAGAGCCCTATCCGGAAGGAGGCAGGGCCCTTTCTTCCTTTTTACATCATCACCTCACTCCATTGACGCTTCAGCAGGAATCCAGCCCTGGGCGATGTGTCAGGGTGGCCACTTCCTGCAGAGACCCATGACTGGTGGTTTCAGTGCGGGCTCCACTGGGGCTGCTTGTCTGAGGGACAAAGAAGTCTTCTTTTACCCAGGCTGGAAATAGAAAAGAATCCCTGCCATTGAGGGCCCACTGCTCGCCTGGAGAACCACCTCCCTCTGAGGCTGGCCGGCATGCTCCTCGCCCAACGCCGCATCCGGCTGCGTAGGACACAGGAAAGTGTCACATCTCTGTGCCAGTGGCTTCACCCTCTGGGCTGTTACTCTTTCCACAGCAGCCCTGGCCAGCCAAGCAGAGAGGGAAAAGAACCAAGGCCCTCCATACTTTGGTTAAAAGAAGCCACCTAGCTAGGCGTGGTGGCACACGCCTATAATCCCAGTGTTTGGGAGGCTGAGGCAGGAGGACTGCTGTGAGTTGGAGACCAGCCCGGGCTACATAGTGAGTTCCAGGTCAGTCTCAACTACATAGTGAGACCCTATCTCAAACACACACACACACACACACACACACAAGAAGAAGAAGAAGCCAACCTTCTCCCCAGCTCCCTGAGATGCACAAGCCAAGGGGTCTGGGTCACACAGCTGAGGCCTCTGTGCTCTGGACAGCAGACCCCAGTGCCCATGAAGATCCCTTCCCACCAAGGCTTCAAATGAGCCTTGCAAGGGGACACAGCTTCAGGTATTTGGCAATAAAAGTGTCCTTGCTGATCTGGGACAGGTGGACTTCAGTTTAGTGCTTTCTGAAATGACACTTGGGGGCCATGGAGTTAGCTCAGTGGCACCATGAATGCCTTGCAAGAGGCAAGGTCCTGAGTTCGACCCTCAGTACTGGAAAAAAACGAAACAAAACAAAACAATGCAGTGACACTTGGGGCTGAGATCTGAACAGCAGTGTCTTAGGACTGTGTACTAACGCCTTTAACAAACTCACAGTTGAAAAGAAAAGAAAGCCTCATCTGCAGTGGTATCATCTTGTCATTGCAGACCCTGGAGACAATGGATACTGGAAAGCCCTTCCTCCATGCCTTTTTCATCGACCTGGAGGGCTGCATTAAGACCTTCAGATATTTTGCAGGGTGGGCAGACAAAATCCAGGGCAGGACCATCCCCACAGGTGAGCCAGAGCAGGACAGACTCTCACCTCCTTTGGGGTCTGTCATCTCCCCCTACTGGGCCTCCTCACTGTCCCTCACTCCCCCAGTGGCACTGTGCTGAGCCTTCTAAGGGATTTATTCACCTTGAGGGGGGCAGTATGCTGAGGGTCAAGCCCAGAATCCTACACAGGCTAGACAAGCAATCGTCCACTGAGCTAGACCCTTAACCCTTCACTCACTTTGTGAACTTGAGTTGAAAGCACTTCTTTGTGCAATAGACAAGATGTGCTTCCAAGTTTATGGGCTTCTGGGTTTCTTTCTTGTCTTTCTATCCATGACATTCTTCACCCTGATTAAATGAGTGAGGCTGTCACCCACCTGTCCCCTCTCTTGCAGATGACAGTGTTGTGTGCTTCACCAGGCACGAGCCGGTTGGGGTGTGTGGGGCCATCACTCCAGTAAGTACAGCAGCTTTTCCTGAGAGGCCCAATGTAGGTAGCACCCCACCTCCCTGCATCCTTTGGAACAGTTTCTGGTGTGCTTTGTCCACAGCACCGGTGTTGATTGAGGAGGTGCTTGGTGGCATGGAGCTCAGTGCTCCAGGACTCCTGAGATGGGTTAGGCCCTATTGCTGCTCTGAGACCCTGGCTCTAGATGAGCACTGCCAGGCAGAGTGAGTCCCAGTCAGAGGGATCCGGGATGGACAAGATCCTAGGGAGCCAGGCTCTCTGCTGGGCCCTGAAGGATAGGAAAGACTTGTTCATCAGGACAAAAGGTTTTCCAAGTAGTAGGGATGGCCTGAGAAAAGACGTGGGAATGGCTGTCCTCTTAGAAGGGCACAGCAGGGATGCTGGTGCTTGGAGGGAATGAGCTCATGTGTCAGGTGACCGGGGCCAGCTTCAGCAGCCTTGGCTGCCAGGTGGGACGGGGACTTTAGTCACTGAACCGTGGGATGCTCGTAGGAGACTGGGGAATGCAACAATGCTGCCCGTCTATCTGGGAAGCCCCGGGCCACTGCAGGGGCAGCTGGGCTGGGAACAGGGGAGACAGGTGGCATCCGGAAGGGAGGGCTGAAAAAGTGCTTCATGGAGATCAGGAGGGCAGCAAACATTTTGGAGGGGTTGTAGCAGGCAACATGCAGCAGACCCTCTTTGCACAGGCTGCCAATTAGTATTTCCCAGGGTGCAGTTTAGCAAGCACTGGGCAGGAACGCTGTCCAATCATTGCCCACTCCTACGTTAGCCCGGAAGCCCCAATCTGGCTGAAAGGCACATGCCCACCACAGTGGCATCCCTGGGTGCCTGGGACAGGGGAGAGGGTATATGCAGGCCCTTGAGTTGTTCCTTGTACTCTGCCCCAGTGGAACTTCCCCCTGCTGATGCTCGTGTGGAAGCTGGCACCCGCCCTGTGCTGTGGGAACACTGTGGTCCTGAAGCCGGCCGAGCAGACTCCCCTCACTGCCCTTTATCTGGGCTCACTGATCAAAGAGGTAAGAAAGGAAAGTCCAAGAAGGAAATGTGTGCTCTTGATAACAGTCCCACTCCTGGGAACCGGGTCAGCGTCACAAGACGTGACAGTGGCAGCCGGCTCCTGAGGAGTGGGAAGGGAATGACGCCTGTGTTTTGCTTGGCAGCTGTGCTGTCTTCCTCCTGCTTGTGGTCACCGAGCTGGAAGAAGCACCGTCCCTCCCAGTGGTGCTAATGGGAACGCGTTACTCTTATTATGGGCTCAAACCTGTGGTTTAGGGCTCAGTGTTTTGTCTAGAGGATCTGCAAGGGGTGACCCGAGGCAGAGCCAAATGTCCAGGAGCTTCCTAGGCTCTGCACCCCTGGGGTATGAAATGGCCCTTTTCTCTCCAGTACCGGGGCAGCACCCGCCCCCCGATTAGCCCCTTCTGCCCGTGGCCAATGCCCACCCTCACCCAGGTAGCCACAACTCAGGGAAACATCTGCTGTCCCCAAAAGGATACCTCCCAGGCACACCTAGCCACATATTTTAGTCATTTCATCATCAGCTTGTATGTAGCAAAGATTTAGGGGAAAGAGGGGCAGGAGAAAAGACCCATTCATTTCACCTCTCATCTGGGTTAATACCCAGATCAAGGCCGGACAACCAATAATCAGCCAGTTTTCACTTCTCTTCGACTGGCGAGAGAGAACACGATCATCAAAGTGATGAGGCTTGAGGGTCCTGATAGCATAACTGTCAAAAATCAGTGCCTAGGAAACTAAGCCCTTGGCTTTTTAAAATGACGTGTTTTCAGTATGTCACAGGGCACTCTGGGAAGACGTCCTCCACCTCACTCAGTTTGTGGCACCCTTGTAAAGGAGAAGGAAGGTCTTACGCACGCAAACATTGGTGTAATAGAACCAGGTGTGTTCATCCTGGATGTGAACCAAGATGAGCAAGCAAAGGACACAGAGGGGATGGTTTCTCGTCCCATCCTGAACATAAATGGGGCAGATTGAAAAATGAATGCCGTTGCTCCAGAAGAGTCTTTTGCAGCTGCCTTGGGGCCTGAGAGGTGTGGCCCAGGTACTTGTGCATCCCTCAGTGTGCAAACCCTCAGATGCCTTCACATGCACTGTCTGGCCTATACCCCTATGTGTGCACACACACATTTGCACACACACAACCCTATGTGCTCACCCGCACGCACTTGCACGACACACAGGCACTGAAAGGTACCTTGCCACACGAGGACCACTGCCACCTTGTGGCCTCACTGCATATTTGCCCAGGGCCCTGCCCATAGGAAGCCCTTCCTGGAAGAGGAAGCGTGTGCCCCAGGACCCAGCCTGCAGCCTGTGCAGTGGCAGGAGTGAGGACCCCAGGCCCCTGAGTGCCCCTGGGGGCCCGCAGCCAAGCGTGCCTGAGCCCTGGGTTTCTGTGGGGGGCTGCAGGGCTCCCAGCATCTCTCGGCCCTTACACCACTCCTGCCAAAGCTGTGCCTTCTTGTCCTCTGATGCCAGCTCCATTCTCCCCAGGTTGGGTTCCCTCCAGGCGTGGTGAACATCGTACCAGGATTTGGGCCCACGGTGGGAGCAGCCATTTCCTCTCACCCTCAGATCAACAAGGTCGCCTTCACAGGGTCCACAGAGGTAACTCCCCAGGCTAGGGACAAACGTGGTCACCCAGCCCAGACCCCCAAGCATCTCCTTGGAGAAGCTCAAATGTGACTTGTTTTTCTTCTAAATCTGACCATGTTGTAATAATAAGGTTGGTTGAAAGTCACTGATCTAGTTTCCAAACTAAGTAAATACACAATAGAACTCAGAAGCTTTAGAAGAAAGGACTGAGAGATAAGATAAAATAAAAATGTAAAACATCCATATGCCAAACATCGTAATTAAGGCTAAGAGATGACTGAGAAGCTGAAAGGAAACCAAGGGTCTTGTGTGCAGCTCTTCCTATGTGAAGCGCTTATACAAATCAATGAAAACAGTTAAATGAAATGGCGAGAAACAGGTAACTAGAGGATATGAATGCTCCATGCTCAGTAAACCTAGTTGACTTCTAATCAAAGAAATGATAGTCACCAACAGGCACGGAAGTGCACCTTCAAACAGAAATCAGACTTTCCTCTTATCTCTTAATTTGGTAAAAACTGGAGTGATGTTACTAAGAATATAGGATCTCACCTACTGTCCCTCAGGTGGGAGGTGAGATTTGGGAGCATGGATCAAACGTTTCAAAGTGAAAAATTTTTGATTCAGAAATCCCATTTCAAAGAAACTACTGTATTTGGAGAAATATTCAAAGACATGTTTTCAAATGTGTCATACCTGATCTCGGAAATGTCTTAGGGTCATTGTGTAGACAAAAAAAGATACCTTTCAGGTACAAAAAAGCCAACCACAGGAAATCATCTACAGTAGGATCCCACTAGTAAGAGTGGCACACACACGTGTGTGGGGGGGTTCACATGTAGACATAGAAATTCTCTGGAAGGATTCCCAAGAAATTACTATGGCCACCTATGGAATGTGTCCTGAGTATTGTTAGAGGGTTGGAGGAGAAAGATACACTTTTAATTTACACACATCTACCTATGGAATTATTTTTAATGAGAAAGTTCTGTACTTAGATGAATGTTTCCCATGCAGTCAGTGTCCTCTTGGGTCCGCCCAGAAGCCCACAGCCTCTTCCTGCAGCCCTGACGGAGGGTGCTGCCTCTTTGGCCCCAGGGTGGCCATCCTCACAGGTTGTGGTCAGATGAGGCCCTAAGTGAGAGCCACTGTGTCACTGGTGCAGCAGTAAAACAGCCAGTGGCACTCAGTGTGCTGACCACAGCAGGTGCCCTACTCTTGGCTTCAGGGACAGGGGCCCCAGTGGGTCCTCATCTTCCTCTGCCACCTCATCTGGTATAGCAGAGTTGCCCCTGTCTGTCTCTGCAGACATCCTGAGCCCTGTCTAGGTGACCGCAGGTCCATCTGGGTGGCGTCCTCCTCGCTTAGCAACCATCATCAAGAAAGCCCCAGGGACTGCTCAGCCACAGGCACCTCCATAATGGTGCTTTCCTGCCCAGTTGCCCTGCTGTCTTTAGCTGTGAGAATGCAGCTGGACCTCTGGAAATAGATGCACTCTACCACTGAGCTACAGCCCAGGCCAAGAGTGCTTCTGTGTGTGGCCCCAGATTTTTTTTTTTTTTTTTTT